TTTTCTTGAGTGTCGCAATTTTATAAAGATTTTCCCTATTACAATATTTACATTTCCTATTACAATTCCTTATTACGGTATTTGCATTTACCTGTATTTTTTCTTAGTATTTGTAAGCCTGTTCGTTACTTTGCCAGCCTGTTTGTTACTTTCTTTCCTTCCTTCCTTTCTTCCTCTTCAAAGTTTAAAAGGATTAAACTTTGAAGAGGAAGAAAGGATTAATTAAAGGGATTAATTTTGCTTTACGACTTTTAAAAAATCCTACAGAGTTAGCCAGTTGCCCCACTACCAGTTAAATACCAGTTATTGAATAATTCATCTTTTCACCACTGATTAAAAACTCCATTTTTATCATATACTAAATTCCTGGTCTTCTTCTAGATATTATATATTAGTCGTTTGATTTATCTATTATTTATTTTCTTTTTTTTGAGACCGAGTTTCGCTCTGTCACCCAGGCTCGAGAGCAGTGGCAGGATCTCAGCTTACTGCAACCTCTGCCTCCCAGATCCAAGTGATTCTTGTGCCTCAGACACCAAGGAGCTGGGATTATCGGCACACACCACCACATCCAGCTAATTTTTATATTTTTAAATTTTGTATTTTAAAATTTTTGTATTTGTAGTAGAGCCCCACATTGGACAGGCTGGTCTTGAACTCCTGACCTCAAGTGATCCGCCTGCCTCAGCCTCCAAAGTGCTGGGATTACAGGCATGAGCCACTGTGCCTGGCCTGATCTGCTAAAATTATATCTCTTGCCCACACCATATCGTTTTGACTTCTGGTAGGCCATATACTCGGTTTTATTGATTTTTCAATTTTTTCTTAGGTATTGATACACATTTATTCTCCCAAATGAAAATCAGAATGCTTTTGCAAAGTGTTCAACAAAACTGCCTTGGGATTTTGATTGGAATTAACTTGAGGAAAACTAGTATATTCCATATTGAGTCTTCTCATTTATTCAAGAACATAAAATGTCTTCATTTCTTCATAAACTTTATGTATGTCACATAAATTTTAAAGTCCTTTTTAATAGCTACAGCTGATTAACAAGTTCTGAAACATGCATGCCCTTTTAGTTTTTAGTGATGGGAAACTAAATTAACATGTGAATACCTTTATTTATACTAGGTTGTTGAGATGGACTGAATTTTTGTGCCCCCTCACCAAAATTCATATGTTCAAGCCCTCACCCTCAAAGTGATACTTGGAGATGAGGGATGAGGGAGAGGTAATTAGGGTTAGTTGGGATCTTCATGACGGGATTGAGTGCCTTTATGGGAGACACCAGAGAGCTTACTCTCTCCCCATGCTCCCACAAAGAGGTCATGTGGGCACATGGTAACAAGGTGGCGGTCTGCAACCCAAGAGGAGAGCCTTCATCAGAAACCAACCATGCCAATGCCCAGATCTTGGACTTCCAGCCTCCAGAGCTGTGAGAAATAAATTTCTGTTGTTTAAGCCACCCTGTCTATGATATGACAATATGGCAGTCCAAGCAGATAAATACAGTAATGTATTTGTTACTTAGTGTGCCCCCAGATTCTGGGTTACTCCGGCTTCGCAGGTTATGGCCCACGGAAATAGGACAACTGAAACATGGCAATAGAAGGGGCCACTTTGTTTGTAAAGTGCATTTTATTGTATTGCTTTGCATAAGGATTGATTCAGGAAAAATAAAGGATTCTAAGTCACCATTTTTCCTCATTCAAGATGAAAATCTTTTTTTTTTTTTTTTTTTTTGAGACAAGGTATCTATTACCCAGGCTGGAGTACGGTGGCATGATTTGGTTCATTGTAGCCTTGAACTCCTGGTCTCAAGCAATTCTCCTGCCTTAGCCTCCTGAGGATCTGAACTACTAGCTCTTGCCACCATGTCCAGCTAATTTTTATTTTTTAATTTTGTGTAGAGATGGAGTCTTGCTATGTTGGCCAAGCTGGTCTTGGACTCCTGGCATCAAGCAATCCTCTTGCCTTGGCCTGAAAATAGTTTCTGAGCTTCATATTTCTAGAAATGCTGGCTTCCCTATTTTATTGCATAGAAGAATGCCAATGAGAAAACTGTTATTGATGTTTAGTGACCACATGTTAACCTTTGGGCATATTTGGAAGTAGTAACATGGAAGTACGATGTAGTCATTCCTTATAGTTGTGGAACTTTACTAAATGCATTTATATTTTTACACGCAAAATTTTCTTTCAGTTTCATTTTATGAACGGAGTAAACTCAGATTCAGAGAAATGGATGTCTATCACAAGGTAGCACAGAACCAGAGCTTGATTTAATTTATTCCACTCAATGAAACTTTTTCTGAGAACTTATTGTACGCACACTATGGTCTCCACCCTAGGTCTTTCTGTGCTGTGGTGCTAGGATTTTCTCTTAGCTTTCTGACCCACTTAAGCCATACTGTACTTACTTAACTCAGGTAGCTCCTGGTGCCCTAAAGATTTAGACTACCACTGGACTCTGAACCCACAGCCGGATGTGTGGTGCTGCCTCTCCTCAGGTTCAAACCTCTCTCTGACAGTTCCTACCAAAATGAAGCCCCTTCTGGACCAGCAATGGAAAAAGGGTGTCTCTTAACAGCTGAGGTTTTTGCTTGGAAAGCTCTCCTTCAACCCTCCCTTTCTTTTCCCCATTCTGATTAATCCGTTTTATATATAGTGAAAGGGAAGTTTGAGATTTGATCTCAGGTCCAAATGAGAAGTTAGGCAGACAACATGAAACTCACAGGCCGTAATTTACTTATTGTCCTACTTTATCCTGAACCAAACCTTTCACTAGTAGTTCAGTGGCCATTAGTAGTGAACTGATGTCCCAAATTTAACATAAGACTTGCTCTGGATGAAGCAGAAGGAAGCAAAAACGTTGCTGAAACAGTAGGAATTTGCAAGGCAAGAACAATGAAAATAATGCCACATTTAATTGAAAAACAATTGATTTAGGCAAATTAAATCAAGTAGTGTTTTGAAAAGACAAGCAATATTTAGTTCTCACTTTGTATTGACTGTGTACAGAGAAGATAAATCAGGAGCAAGATATGTAGCAGTGATTGTCAATATCTGAGGAAAAGTTAATTCCTAAAATTTTTATTCAAAAAATTGCTTACATGTCTTCTAAACTACAAAAGAGTGCACAGTAACAACTTTTGAATTTAAATATGTAGGTATTTTTTATTCTTATTTTATAATAGTTTGTCTTATTTTATTTGAGATAGAGTCTCACTCTGTCACCCAGGCTGGAGTGCAGTGGCATGATCTCGACCCACTGCAATTTCCAACTCCCAGGTTCAAGCAATTCTTCTGCCTCAGCCTCCTGAGTAGCTGGGACTACAGGTGAGCACTACCACACCTGGCTAACTTTTGTATTTTTAGTAGGGATGGGGTTTCACCATATTGGCCAGGCTGGTCTTGAGCTCCTGACCTCGTGATCTGCCCGTCTTGGCCTCCCAAAGTGCTGGGATTACAGGCGTGAGCCACTGTGTCTGGGTATTTTTTTATTTTTACTTTTTTTGAGACAGAGTCTCACTCAGTTGCCCAGGCTGGAATGCAGTAGCACATTCACTGCTCACTGCAGCCTCAACTTCCCGAGCTGAAGCAATCCTCCCACCTCAGTCTCCCAAGCAGCTGCGACAACAGGCATGAGCCACTGCATCTGGATAATTTTCTTATTTTCTGTAGACACGGGGTCTCCCTGTGTTGCCCAGGCTGGCCTTGAACTCTTGGGCTCAAGTGATTCTCCTGCTTTGGCCTCCCAAAATGCTGGAATTCTAGATGTGAACCACCATGCCCCACCTTGTCTTATTATATTATCTTTAGATCTATTATGCCACAGAAATATTTATGTCAGACATGGATCATGTCATATAGGAGAAAAACAGAGAGTGCTTTCAGTGTATTTTAAATATTTTCAAAAGAACTACACTGGAACCTCTGTGATTGACTGGTACAGAATTACCAAATCTGATGGCATCCCAGTATTTCACTAGTAATAGTGTTCTCAGAAGAGATCTTATGAATAGCATTACCAGCATGGATCCAGCTGGTATATTTTCTGAAGTACTTTGCCCTCAGTCCCGTAAACTCAAGGGAAGAAAGTAATACAATTTTCCTTCATAGAGTATAGAGAAGAAGCATTGTGGTACATAAAGGAATACAGGACTAGGTGACAGGAAACTGCTGCTTTAGTTTGGCTCTGAGATTTTTTAACCAAATCATTTCATCTTTCCAGGTTTAATTGCCTCATCTATAAAAATGGAGATAGTTCTTACATCATTAAATATCTGGAATGATTAAATAAAATAGATCACAACATGGTATCAAGTAGAGAAAAAAGGAAAAAAAAATTTGAGGGGTTAATATATGCTAAGTACTATGGTTAAAAGTGGAACTCTTAAGGGCTCCTTTAGACCCATGATTGTACCAAATCACAATTTTAAATCAAATATTTAACAAAATGCTTTTAATTTAAATAATCCTATTTTACTCTAAAAGAAACTTTAATACATTTTAAGACTTACTATTACCAATTTTCAAAAGGAGAATAAATCAACAGTTGAAAAATAAAAATACTTTCCATAAATATGTCCAGATGTGTCATCTATTGGCAGACTAATAATTCATAGTAAAAATAATCTGTATATTTTACATTTTTATAAAATATTTTTCAAAGGGGACAGTAATTTGAATGTAATAAGTTAAATAAGCATACTATTTAAATTTAACTATGGAAAAATCTCACAAATTATTGTTATTTTTTCTACTATCTCAAGATTACTTTATAGATGGAAATTAATTTCATATAATATCTTAAAACATTCTATAGATAAAACTTTCTCAAACAGAATTTTAATCCAAAATATTACCCATCAAATTTAAGGGAAGAAAGGATTACATATATCAAAATATGCTAAAAGAACATTTAATTGTACCTGAAAATAAAATTCAGTAAAATTAAAAAAATTTAAATATTATAGATTAAAAACTTTAGCTGTTAAAATTAGAAAAACATCTAGGTACAACTATTAAACTCTACCATGAGAGTTTAATAAATGTTTCAGTAATATATTTTTCTATTAAACACAAATATACATATAAATATTTGGGAAGAATCCATATCTTCTGGTTATAGATGACAAACCTGATAGGGTCCCAGCTTTTTATTTGACCTTATATACAAATAACTTGAAAGTAGTAAAACACATATTTTTAATCATTTTGGTATATAGTTAGGTCAGATTTTATTTCTAGTAGTTTTCCATAATTTCTTATTAGAAAGGCCAGCTACTTATGTGAAAAATAATTTTAAATTACTTTATATTTGATATTTAAAAGTCTAGTTAGAATACATATGGCATATATATATATCTTTATAAAAATAAATATCTAAACTATTGATATTTTGTTTCTTAGATTAGGTAGATAAATTAAAATATTCTAGAACATAATCTGAACTCAAAAAAATAGAAATCATTAATTCAATGTATAAATATAGCAGAAGAGTTCCTTTCATGTTTGACATATTGACCATATGTGTCTAGGACAGCCCTCTGAAATATATTTTTTACTCCCTAAAACTTTGTAACATAGAAATTTGTAATTTTTACTCAATCCTTATTTACTAGGGAGTTTTGCTATTCAAACCAAAGGTTTTTGCAATTAAGCCAAGGATTACTAGTTTTTCACTTTTTTATGTTTATGTTTAAGTGGTATAACTCCTTTACATACCTTATATAATAAAATGTATCAGGAAAAGCTATAACCCTTCATATGTAATACATAGTTACTTAGGTGATAAAGAGTTAATGAAATTTTCAAGGTCTGCTAAAGAATTTTGAAGTCCATCATTAATATCTTGACTTCTAAGAAATTTTTTCAGAGTATCTAAAGCAGTGATTGCCTCAGATTTTGATGGTAAAGGGAGTTCAGTTCCTGGAGATCCATCATCATCCTCTTCATCAGAAGTGTAAAATCCAGTTTCATCTGATTTACTTTCTTTGGTGCGTACAGAATCGCCACCTGGCGCTGTTTCACATGTCTCCAAATCGTCATCCAGGGCAGCATACTCTTCTATAGATAAACCTTCAGGAAATTCTACTCCTGCCCCCAGAGCATGGGCAACCAAATCCAGACTGGTATCCTTTTCTGCATTTGTTATGTCACCTTCTCCCTTTTGAGATTTGAATCCTGCCTCTTCATAGCTTTTAACAATAGTCTCTGGGGTTACAGCCCTCCAGCAAAGATGCAATGTATCAACTGCATCTAGTAGTGAAAATGTAAATTCTTTGCTACCTTCAACAGAACTTAAAAATTTCTTGATCAGACACTGTCGATATTTGATTTTAAGGCTTTTAATAATGCCTTGTTTCATAGCTACACATTTGGAAGATAAACATGATGGAAAGAAAGCTAACTCAATGGACTTTAGGTTATTTACCTCTGGATGTGCTGGAAGGGACTCAACAAAAATCACCACTCTTCGTTGCTGGGCTTGAAATTTCTCATCAAGCTTTCGCATCCATTGTTCAAATACATCTGAGGTCATCCATGCCATTCTGTTAGCTTCATAACACACAGGCAGTGATTTTAAACCTTTGAAACAATGTGGACTTCTGTTTTTTCCAATGACAAGCAAAGGAAGTTTCTCTGAGCCATCCATGTTGGTGCCAACCATCAGAGTTATTCTGTCTTTGCATAACTTTCCAACTGAGCATGTTTCGCCTTTAAATGCAAATGTATTCGTAGGTAACATTCGATAAAGCAGGCCAGTCTCTTTTATATTAAAAACATTTTTAGGATGATAATCATTTAAATAATAAGGAAGTACATTTTGGTACCAGACAGTCGAAGGGTCTACTGATACACCTGTAGCTTCTACAGGTTGAGCTCTAAACACTAAACCATACCTGGATTTAAAACGATCCAGCCAACCATTACTGCACTTAAAATCATTATGGCCCAGTTTCTGGGCAAAATCATTAGCTTTTAGACGCAACATCGGACCATTAACTGGTACATTTAGACACTGAGCAATTCGATACCACCTCATTAATGCCTCTTCCAGATCTGTGTAAAAAGCAGTTCTCAGTCTTTTTCTTTTTGGATCAAATCTTAGAGATTCAAAGGCTTCTAGAACTTTGTCTTTATTCTTCATAATAGAAGACAATGAATTTTTCTTTATTCCATATTCAGCAGCAATCTCTGCTTTTTTCTTGCCACTTTCCACTGCATTTATGATGTCAATCTTTTCCTCAATGGATAGGCTTTTCTTTTTCTTCACTGTTACAGGCAGAGTTGAGGCATCCACAGGAGCTTCTGCCATCTCAGCCAGTGCTTATATAGAGATTACTCTTCTTACTTCCTGGTGACTGTTTCTTTGATTAAAATTTGTTTTCCAGTATGATATAGATTGCTGCTTTCTATCCTACTTCATATATTAAAAATTGGCAAGTGCTTGATAGTCTTATTTCATAGGAACTTGATGACGAAATACACTTTTTCAAAGATCTGAAGAAAAAAATGTTATATGCAACTACAATATCTTAGAAGAGAAACTTCCTTCCTAGAACCTTGTATAGCTCAGTTTATAGTTTATTCATAGTTTTAGAAGTCAAGCTAAAATAGAAATTTCATATCAAACCTGTCCAGTCCTGCTGATGTATTTTTGGAACTTCAATCTTTTAAGATGATCCATTTTATCCATGCACAAATTCAACCTCCTATTAATTCTCCACAGAAGGACTCAGAGATAAGAAGAAAAAATGTTCAACAGTTTTCATGCAAAAATGTTACCCATTAATTTTCAACTTCGTTCATGATAAAGAAGAAAATGGTAGAATCCTTCTAGAACTTGCCAGTATATCTTCTATTTTTTGAAGATGTAAAAAAAAAAAAAGGGCAGCAATTTTAGCAGTATGTCATTTAGCAGTATGAATATTAAAAAGAATACTTATACAGATTATTATACTCTTAATAATGAAAATAATAGAAACATGGTTCTGAAATTACAATAAACAAAGTTTCCAAAATAAATGCTTACCTCCCGAAAGGTCTCTCTGTAAAAGCTCTCTAGTTCTGCTCTACAGATTTGAATTCTCACTTGTCTTTGAATGCCTTATAATATATAGTTCTGAAATAAATCAGATAAATTTAATCTATTCTGAAAATGTGGGCTTACCAAAATTAAAGAACTAAAAATGATGCTGGATAGATGCTTGGTGGCTATTTTCTACATGAGGTCACAGACTGCACCCTCTAACTTCTCTAAAAGAAAACATAGACAGAAGTCACAAGGTTCAACTTTTAATAGTACATGGGAGACAGTGTCTCTTTTATAAGAGTCTGACAGAAAATGCTTCACTCAAAATTCAAATCAAGTGGTAATTCTATTTTTAAAAAATCTAAATCCCATTCTGTCTAAAAGCTTAAAAACCCAATACCTTTTCATTTTTATAATTAAAAATTTTTCTTTTCTCTTTTTTTTTTACCCTTATCCTGTTAGTAGGCTAAGAATGCAGTAACTTTTGTATTAATTTGACACATTAGCTGAATGTATAGAGGCCAGAAATACTGGACAAAAGGAATAGGAACAAACAATTCGGAGAGTATAATGCAGAAAGAGATGTAGACTACGAATAGGAAGGATACTGACGAGTCTTAACGTGTCAGTCATCCACTTTCTATCTGTAAAAAAAGAAAACAAAAAGGTGCAGGCCACTTCTGAATTGAGAAGTCACTCTGCTATTTAGTACTCAGTGATCCCAGGCCATTTACGTAACCACTTGAAGCTTCAGCTTCCTTATCTGTAAAATGGGAGTAACTACAGCACCTACCTCATTATTGTGCATTCAAAGAGATTCAATGAGAGAGTGTAAAGCCCTTAGCACAGTATTTAGTACTTTAAGAAAGTGCTCAGCAAATACATGGTGATGATCTTATCATCATTATCTGTCTCACATCTTTTGGCTGTGTGAATCTACAATTTGGAAAACTTTGTAAAATCCGACTGGCAAACAGAAGCAAGGATCTCACCTTACATCTATACTCAAAGTAGAGCTTTTCCTAAGCCACAAGAACAGTAACAGGCCCCAGATGGGCTCATCTCTACTTTCCCAAGTCAGCATCTCCCTTATCAGAATCTATGGGGCTTTGGGCCTACTATGGCCAAGATAATAACAAGCTAATTGATGAGCAATGTTACTTCTGCGCGAATGTGGGCACTCCATTGACGAGCAGTGTTCCTTCTGTGCGAATGTGGGCACTCCATTGATGAGCGATGTTACTTCTGTACTAGTGTGGGCACTACACGGATGAGCGGTGTTACTTCTGTGGGAGCGTGGGCACTACACGGATGAGCGGTGTTACTTCTGTGGGAGCGTGGGCACTCCATGGATGAGCGGTGTTACTTCTGTGTGAGTGTGGGCACTCCATGGATGAGCAGTGTTAATTCTGTGTGAGTGTGGGCACTCCATGGATGAGCGGTGTTACTTCTGTGGGAGCGTGGGCACTCCATGGATGAGCGGTGTTACTTCTGTGTGAGTGTGGGCACTCCATGGATGAGCAGTGTTAATTCTGTGTGAGTGTGAGCACTCCATGGATGAGCGGTGTTACTTCTGTGGGAGCGTGGGCACTCCATGGATGAGCGGTGTTACTTCTGTGTGAGTGTGGGCACTCCATGGATGAGCGGTGTTACTTCTGTACTAGTGTGGGCACTACACGGATGAGCGGTGTTACTTCTGTGGGAGCGTGGGCACTCCATGGATGAGCGGTGTTACTTCTGTGTGAGTGTGGGCACTCCATGGATGAGCGGTGTTACTTCTCTGTGAGTGTGGGCACTCCATGGATGAGCAGTGTTAATTCTGTGTGAGTGTGAGCACTCCATGGATGAGCGGTGTTACTTCTGTGGGAGCGTGGGCACTCCATGGATGAGCGGTGTTACTTCTGTGTGAGTGTGGGCACTCCATGGATGAGCGGTGTTACTTCTGTACTAGTGTGGGCACTACACGGATGAGCGGTGTTACTTCTGTGGGAGCGTGGGCACTCCATGGATGAGCGGTGTTACTTCTGTGTGAGTGTGGGCACTCCATGGATGAGCGGTGTTACTTCTGTACTAGTGTGGGCACTACACGGATGAGCGGTGTTACTTCTGTGGGAGCGTGAGCACTCCATGGATGAGCGGTGTTACTTCTGTGTGAGCGTGAGCACTCCATGGATGAGCGGTGTTACTTCTGTGGGAGCGTGAGCACTCCATGGATGAGTGGTGTTACTTCTGTGTGAGCGTGGGCCCTCCATGGATGAGCGGTGTTACTTCTGTGTGAGTGTGGGCACTCCATGGATGAGCAGTGTTAATTCTGTGTGTGAGCACTCCATGGATGAGCGGTGTTACTTCTGTGTGAGTGTGAGCACTCCATGGATGAGCGGTGTTACTTCTGTGGGAGCGTGGGCACTCCATGGATGAGCAGTGTTTCTTCTGTGTGAGTGTGGGCACTCCATGGATGAGCGGTGTTAATTCTGTGTGAGTGTGGGCACTCCATGGATGAGCGGTGTTAATTCTGTGTGAGTGTGAGCACTCCATGGATGAGCGGTGTTACTTCTGTGGGAGCGTGGGCCCTCCATGGATGAGCGGTGTTACTTCTGTGTGAGTGTGGGCCCTCCATGGATGAGCGGTGTTAATTCTGTGTGAGTGTGGGCACTCCATGGATGAGCGGTGTTAATTCTGTGTGAGCGTGAGCACTCCATGGATGAGCGGTGTTACTTCTGTGGGAGCGTGAGCACTCCATGGATGAGCGGTGTTACTTCTGTGGGAGCGTGGGCCCTCCATGGATGAGCGGTGTTACTTCTGTGTGAGTGTGGGCCCTCCATGGATGAGCGGTGTTACTTCTGTGGGAGCGTGGGCACTCCATGGATGAGCGGTGTTACTTCTGTGGGAGCGTGAGCACTCCATGGATGAGCGGTGTTACTTCTGTGTGAGTGTGGGCCCTCCATGGATGAGCAGTGTTAATTCTGTGTAAGTGTGGGCACTCCATGGATGAGCGGTGTTAATTCTGTGTGAGCGTGAGCACTCCATGGATGAGCAGTGTTACTTCTGTGTGAGTGTGAGCACTCCATGGATGAGCGGTGTTACTTCTGTGGGAGCGTGGGCACTCCATGGATGAGCGGTGTTAATTCTGTGTGAGCGTGAGCACTCCATGGATGAGCGGTGTTACTTCTGTGGGAGCGTGGGCACTCCATGGATGAGCGGTGTTACTTCTGTGGGAGCGTGGGCACTCCATGGATGAGCGGTGTTACTTCTGTGGGAGCGTGGGCCCTCCATGGATGAGCGGTGTTACTTCTGTGTGAGTGTGGGCACTCCATGGATGAGCGGTGTTAATTCTGTGTGAGTGTGGGCACTCCATGGATGAGCGGTGTTACTTCTGTGTGAGCGTGGGCACTCCATGGCTGAGCAGTGTTAATTCTGTGTGAGTGTGGGCACTCCATGGATGAGCGGTGTTACTTCTGTGTGAGTGTGGGCACTCCATGGATGAGCAGTGTTAATTCTGTGGGAGCGTGGGCACTCCATGGATGAGCGGTGTTACTTCTGTGTTAGTGTGGGTGCTCCAGGGATGAGCGGTGTTACTTCTGTGCGAGTGTGGGCACTCCATTCTTCTCGATTCCGGGTTTCCCAGGTGATGTGTGCCTTTTTGCACAAAACCTTTTGACAAAACTTTTTGCCACAATTATTCTGCCCTTGTTGCCCAACTCAAAGGAGGAATTTTTATCTTAGGAATTACAACCAGTAAAGGAATTCTTTTTTAAAAAAAGTGTCACTTCGAAAAAAGTCTTACAAGTAATGATAGCCTAGGGTTTTAATTTTTAAATTATTTTACTGCCTATATTCCAAATAACTATGGAGGACGGTAAAACTGGATTTAATTGATCCCACAGTTACAATGTGGTTAAGAGCAGTCCAGAATCTAGGCTTTTAAATGTCAAGTCAGCATTCTTTTCACTATATTACAGTATCTTTGAATTACACTGGTGGGGTCTCCTGTGACCACAGTTACAGATTCTATGCTCCCAGGACCAACCTAAGCCAGCATTTCCAATGCCTTAAAAGTAGAAAGCAACATTACACCTCCATGGAAGAAAAGGCCATTAAGAATTCTGTGAACACAAATAGTAACTCTATCTGTTAGGGAGGGCTAACCTAAGTAATAAGGTTTGACCATACAACTAATATTAAAAATCTTGCTTGTATATAGTATCTCCTCTTACATTTTCCTGTAAATACACAATTCTTTCAAAATAAAAATAAAATACTTGCTCTTATTAGGAAGATACCAAGTTTCAGAAATTGATGTAGCAAAAACCAATTTTTCAAAAAAGACAAAACCAACCAAAATTTACTAGGAGAATCTTCCAACTCCCTCCCTCCTTCCCTCCCTCCCTCTTCTTTCCTTCCTTCCTTCCCTCCCTCCCACCCTTCACTTCCTCCCTCCCACAATCCCTCCCTCTCTTTCCCTTGCTTCCTCTCTCCCTCCTGCCTTATCTCATTTATCAGAAATAAAATCTATCATGTCAAATAACAAGGATTATAGAAAAAGTAACTTGAATTTCTTCTTTTCCCATCCTTGTTAAAGCAATATAATATATATTATTAGAGATTACTCATTATCTTGAGAAAATTGAAAATGTGGTAACTTTGTTTAGGAAGATTAAGTTTTTCCCCTGAGTTAACATTAGTGATAGCTACCATTTTCCATGATAAGATACAATATATATTTATTCCTAAAAAAATCACATTTCTAATGCCAAACAGACAAATTAGACTTTTTCCCTAGAAAAGAATAAGGCATCAATACTACCTGATCAATGAGGGTGACATTCTCCAAACTCCAACAATACAACATCTGGGATATTCTTTTGCAAGGAGTAATGGTAGCAGCTAATATTTCTCAGAATAGTCATCCTCTCAAGCTCATTAATCATTCTCCCTCTTGAAAATACTACAGCAGAGAAATGCTGTATTAACATGCTAGGGAGTATTTTCTCTATGTCAACAGTTAAGCTAATAAGAATATGCAACTGACCAAAAAAAGACTCACCAAATTAATTTCAAATAAAGAAAACAATGGTCAATCCTACTAGTAAGAAAAACATAAATCTTCTTTTAAAAAAAGAGATACCTTGTTTTTGCCTATCAGAATGGCAGTATCTAGTGTTTGCTAGGGTGAGGTAACAGGTCAGTCAGGCACATCAATTGTTACAACACACTTATGGAGGGCAAATTTGCAATATGATATACAACCTTAAAACTCTGTATAACTTTTTATCTAGAAGGTCTATATCAAGGATTTTTTTTTTTTTTTTTTTTTTTTTTTTTTTTGAGATTGAGTCTCACTCTGTTGCCTCGGCTTAAGTGCAGTGGTGTGATCTCAGCTAACTGCATTGTCTGCCTTCTGGGTTCAAGCAATTCTCCCACCTCAGCCTCCTGAGTAGCTGGGACTATGGGTATGCGCCACCACACCTGGCTAATTTACTGTATTTTTTTAGCAGAGATGGGGTTTTACTGTGTTAGCTAGGATGGTCTCGATCTCCTGACCTCATGATCCACCTGCCTCGGCCTCCCAAAGTGTTCAGATTACAGGCATGAGCCACCACGCCCAGCCTATATCAAGGATTTTATCCCAAAAGAATAATTACAGATGTAAAAATAATTTCTTATAAATGTATTAGCTTTCTACTGCTATGCAACAAATTACCACATACTCAGTGCCTTAAAACAACACCCATTTATTATCTCACAGTTCTGTAGATCTTAAGTCCACGCAAGATGTCATTCAGAAACTGGGCTCTTATCTGGAGGCTCTGGGGAAGAATTTCCTTCCAAGCTCACTCAGATTGTTTGCAGAATTCAGTTCCTTGCTGTTGTAGGACTACAGTCTCTAGTTTTTTTCATTGGCTGGTGGCAGGGACTACTCTTCGCTTCTAGAGGCTCTGCTCAGGTCCTTGTCTGTGGCCCTCTTCATTTCAGCAATGTAGAACATCGCTTCTGTAGGTTCTCTTTCACACTTTGAATCTCCCTGACTTCCTCTACTGCCAAAAGCAGGAGAAAACTCTCTGTTCTTAAAGGGCTCATTTGATTGGGTGAGGTCTACCTAGAATATTGCCCTTTTGAGTAATTCAGAGTCAATTGATTAGCAACCTTAATTACATCTGCAAAATCCTCTTGCAAGCAATATAATCATAGCAGTAATATCCCAACATGTTCACAGGAAAGGGAATTATACAAGGTAAGGGTCATTGGAGTTCATCTTAGAATTCTGCCTACTACACAGGACTATTCCCTACATTGCTATATAATTACAGACAAAATTGAAAATATACAACAAAAAGGATGCGTTTCAATAAATTATGAAATATCTGCATACTGAAATACAATTATGCCACACAAAGAGAATATTTAATGATATGAAAAATTCCATGATATATTAA